ATCTCATCTTAAGACAGGTGGTATGTGGGAAGCTAAGGGTGACGCTAAGAAGAAAAAAAAGTGAATGCAAACTGAATCCTGATTCAAAATCCCCTAGAAATTTTTATATAGTGGATGAGTTACTTGGGTTTTAAACAAACATGCTTTTACTATGTGTGAGTTCTTTCAACGTCTAATCTGTATGTGTAGGAGATATGGGGCAATGTTTCCTATTAATAAACTCTTCTGTGATTGCTAAAAGCATTGCCACGGCTTCTCCATACATTTGTCTTCCACATTACTTCTGCACAGTGAGTCGTTCTGTTTCATTATTTTTATTACTAAGACACACGTGGCCCCCACACTAGTTTAGGCCGTAGAAATGAGCTTCGTGGGAATGACCTCCATACAGCGGCACTCCAAGAAGGGCACTGAGGCAAAGCAAAAGCTCCAACACGGACTTGACACCACGTTTCACCTGGGAGTGGTGGGAAGCATGTCCTGAGCCGTGGGTGCAGCCCGGATGTGATGAGAATTCATTCTGCAATCACTGTCCTTCATCACCCGTCACCGATTCCGTTTCCCCTCCCAGACTCTGTTCCACTTTTGCAGCCTTTGGACGACTGGCCTCACCGAGACCAGAGGAGATTTTCTTAATGGCTCAGTCCTCCTCAGTTGGTGCAATAATCACAGGGTAGTGGATCCTCCCATTACTGACTAGGAAGCAAGGATTGCTGCCTGAACCTTCCTACCTGCCTTCCCAGGGGCATCTAATAAAAGTTCAGTTCCACACTTGTCTCCCAGAACTGCTGCCTTGCAAGCCGGCAAGGCGGTCTCCGTTACTGTCTTCTCCCCCTACAGAAGTTCAGGATACTCTCTTCTCTCTCACATAGCTTCAGCCGAGTTGATTTTAAGAATTATACAAAGGGGGAAAAAAGAGTCCTTCTGGACAATTAATTAACAGAGCCTGTTCCGTTTATCAAGCTTCAGATACTCAATCTGACCCGATAAAATTCAGGTTTGATTTATTCGCAAGTCTGTATCTAGGTCACTGAAACCGTAAAGAAATCTTAATATGTTGGTTATTTTCTGAGTAGGAATATGCCTTCCATTGAATACTTGATGTTCTCTAAGTAGGGCAACCGAGCAACAGCCAGCCATATGGTGGGAAAAGCACATAGGGTTTTCTAGAGTTCTGAATTCCACTGCAGTAATATGGATAGAAAGAATTTCTCTTTCCACAGCCAAACTCTTCAAGGTGTTTCTTTATCCAACCTACCCAAATGGTCTCATTTGGCTTTATCCGGCACAGGGAAAGCAGATCACATGACTTGGCAAACAAGACATGTTTAATTGATGTCTCCACAGGATTGGATAGTGGAAAAAAGTATTATTAGGACATTTTGATGCCTGCTAATGAGTAATGACAGTGATTTTGCAGGTGCCAACTTTGTCAGGCATTTGGTGCTGGCATCTGTGATGGCAAGAAAGGTCTTTCAAGAATAGGTTGGGCATATTTTGCAGGCGGGAGCCCCCATGGTAGCTTTGGAAAGCAATTATATAATGAGACCAACAAACTGCAAGCCATTAGACCTCTCTCTTGCTTTATGTGAAAATTGGATTTTTTTTAGTCAAATCCATTTATAGAATTTCACTCGCACTTGCCTACATTAAAATATTTTCAAACAAAATATTTTACTAAAATCTGAAAGCTCTCAAATTTGAAAATACTCAAAAAAGTGAACCAGCAACATTTTCTTGGAAACTGCTACACTTACCATGGGAAACTTTTGCTTTTAGTGGCATTAGCGGTCTACAGCGAATACAACAGAAGGAATTATTTGGGTAGATAAACATTTTCTTTCTAGATTCCAAAAATCTGAACTCTACATTCTTTCACCAAGATGGCTTGGAAAGGAAGAAGAAGAGCAGAATGTAGTCATAACAACAACAGAAATGAAGAGAGTTCTTTGTCCACCATGATGTTGGAAAAGCAAAAACAAAACAGAGACCAATCATTCATTCTTCAGATTTCTGTCATGTGAACAGTGAAAAAAAAATCATTAGATTCATCACAGGTAGTTGTATTCTCAGAGAGGGTAGCAAACCAAGCCAAGTGTCTTGAATTTAAGGAATAAAATTTGACACAGCTGGATCACAGATGGGAGGCGATCCCAACAGAAGAAAACTGCTCATTCTTGAGCTTTAGGTTAATAATCACAAAGTAATCTTAAAATTAGTTTCGTATCCTAACAGAGCTAATTATTCATCAGTTGTTACCTCAGATTATACTATAAGCTAAATAGCTGAAGCAAACCTAGTAACAGAAAACATTTCTGTCCCCTTCAGTAAAAGAAATGTTGACATTTGAGGTGACGCGACATACTCCAATGGTCCTTCCTACATGCTCTCTAAACACTGTTCAGGAATCATACAAGTCCTCCATAGCTCAGAAGTAATCATAAACCAACTGTCTATTAGGGAAGACTTCGATGTCATTTATGGATTAATATAGTGAGAACAGCTCAACTCTCCCTCCTAAAGAATAGAAGTAAAGTCGTTTTGTGGTAAAAACAAGTATGAAGAATCACATCCGAAATCATATGTCGGTGCTGAGGTAGTGAAGGACCACTGTCCTCTGACTAGCTCAGTCTACCTGCTTAACTACACACCTTGCCACTCCTCTGATGAGACCTTTCTGTTCACAATATCACATTTAACCTGAAACTCTCATTCTTGAGAGTCATCTGTGTCGATTCTAAACATTCTAGACATTTTCTACATTATCGGTCCCTACACAGCAATATGCATAGGCAGATCTATAATCCTTGCTTAATTAAGGAGGAATCAGGGCAGTGATATTCTGGTAGACCAGCTTTACAAAAAAGAGCCTAGATATGTTGTGCTTGTTAATTCCCATGGGGTAAATTCTCCTACCATGCCTTCACAACCAGCTCGCAAAAGTCCTGAATATTTAACAATCCTAGCTCCAGTCTGCGACTCAAACAGGAACTCAGGAATGTTTAGAAACTTCCCCAGGATCATATGGCATGTTAGAATCTGAATGACATTCCCCATGGCCGTGTGTGGGCTCCAAAGGTGGGCCCCTTTCATGAACATGCTTCTCCACAGCCCACGTTTATTTCTGCTCTCAAACTTTGTCTTTGCTGTACCTCTTCTTCCCCCCATCAGTTCCAATCTTAAGGCCCAAGCGAGCAAGCAAGGAGCTTGGCCAAGGTTCAGCTGGTCCTGAAACCCTTCCCCAAGCAATTGGTCCATGCCGTTCTCTCTCTCATGCTATACATACCGGCCTTTACACCGGATTTAGCACATAAACACATTACACCTTCTACTTAACACCTTCTACTAACACATCAATGCTTCCTCTTTGTCCATCTTCCCTTTCAAGCCACAAGCAGGCTCTTACCTGCATTTCTGTGATCCACAGAGTGTGCTACATACAAAATGGACACGCAGTATTATCGAATGACCCGGGACCATCTGCCTATGTATTACAGGGAACCCTCTACTCGGGATTTGTGAAGCTAAAGACTTAGAGTAGGGGCACAGTGACTAAGGTCAATCTGAAAGCAGGAAGTCATCTGATCTGGGAGACGTTAAAAGGACGAAAGGAGAGACACACCCTATATTTAACTTTAACTCTCTTTTCTTGCTCTTTGAGTAGATAAAAAATTCTGTGAAGTTTCCTTCTTTATCTGCCAGTAATCAGCCTCCTCCTCTATCTTCCTTCCCTTCACCAAACTTGGCGAAGGTGTAGAGGTGAGTGTCTTCACTCTGAACCTGGGCTGACACGGTCACTGGGATTCCAACTACAGAGGGGTTTAATGAATAATGTCAACTCCCTCGGGACGGAGCTCTGGCATTTTACAGCCTCTGTGCAGTTCACAGGTTCACGGCTCCGTTCTAGAGCAGGCTGCTTTTTAATATGCATTCGCAGATCAACTTTTTTGCAAAGACTTTTTATTCAAAGAGAAAGATGTATTTTTGAAACTATTGAAAATGTCTTTGCAAAACTGAAATTAAATTCTTTCTTTCTAGGTCTAATCTTAGCCATCTTTCCAAAGCAAGGCATAAAAGAAGGGATTAATTTGAAATTTGGGCTGCCTTAGAAATGTAAAGGTCCGTGGGCTCTGTTTCTCCAAATGACCTGCACTGTTTCAATCCCGTGCAATTTATTTGGTTATGGCTGAAAGAGAATGACCTCTAAATCCCCTTCCAACATTTCCACAAAGGTGGCATTCTCTCGTGTCTCTCCATCTTACTCTATCTGCAGATGCCCGGTGAAAACGGGAGTGAAGGAGCCGCCGGGATTATTGTTTAAAAAAGTGTGATTTCAGGAAGTGACACCACTTGTCCTTTCCCTCTTTCCCCAAATGCTTCAGCTTTGGTGAGGACCTGAGCTTCTCCTCTAGAGAACACACACAACAGAGCATGGGTTTACTGTTATTTTAATGGCACGTGCTCTACTGCAGACCACATCCCCCCCTTCCCGCCCCCCACCACTGTGCTGGAGCTGATTCCTCCTCACTCTGATCTCTCCCATCCCATCTGGTCAGAAAAAACCCAGGAATGAACAGATAGATAATCTGATGATACAATCTGAAGAGATGAAATGACTGCTTAGAATTACAAGGAATCTGTGATAAGATATTAAGTAATTTCCCATGTAATTACATTTCTACATATTCTGTAAGATGAAAGGTGGCAACTTAGACCATACAAGGTAATCATACAGTACAATTTGTCCTCAGTTCATAATCCCAACAAAAGCCAAAGATATGTAAATGAGTTAAGATTATAAGGGCTTTTATTTTATTTTTTAAAGAATTTATTTATTTGAAAGAGAGAGTGAGAGTGAGAGCACATGAGTAGAGGGAGGGGCAGAGGGACAAGAGGACTCCCCACTGAGCCACTGAGCTGGGAGCCCAACTTGGGATTCCTGAGATCCAGGACCCTGAGATCATGACCTGAGCAGAGATCAGACACTTTGAGTCACCCAGGTGCCCCAAGGGCTTTCCTTTTTTAATGGAAGTACACACTTCTTTGGAGGGAGCTATTAACATTACATACTCCCCTCTTCTTTGTCTCCTCACATTCCAGCATCTATCCCACATGCAGAATGGAGTCCACTCTCGACATATTGATGAATGCACACACACAAAAATGACTAAGTGATGGTAGGAGTATAGCTCCTCTGTGTCCCATGGTCCTGTGGTGGTGCCCTAGGGCCACTACTTAATGCGAAGGACCCAGCCCTTAATGACAGAGACACACGGAGCCTCTGAAGTAGGTCATGGTGTGGGAATGCAAAGGATGAGAAAGGGAGGTAAAACTGGAAGACTGGTCATTGTTCACTTGCTAACAAAGAAGCACAATCTGGTTACGTGATGCTGTGTCTCTGTTACAAAGAGCAGATCCACCCTGTGAATGTAAATCAGCCTGTGTAGCCATTATATTTGCTAATAAAGCCTTTTATCTTTTCAGTGAGTACTGGCTTAAATACTGAGAAACCCTCTGATCTTTTCCTAGACAATCAACTCTATCAGTGCTTTGTAAGCTGAAGCTACTTCTAATCAGACAAAACTTTTGCTGCCTCTTTTAAAAGACTCAGTGGTACAAGAAAAGTTACAAAATGATACCAAATGTTTTCTAAATTTACAAGAAGAGACAATATTTCATTGACTGTCCCAAAGGATAGTTAAGGTCAAAGAGGTTAAATGACAGTCCAAAACACAAAGCCAACACAGCACAGAGGAGGAAAAAAAAGAGGTGGGTGGAGGGGATTCAGTCCAACACTTCTCATTTGCTTGCTATCAGTGGCCAGCAGCATGTCCTCGAAGAGCTGACTTTATTCTTGACGGGTACAAGTGAAATTCGTACTACTGTGCTAAGAGAGTTTGAGGGAACAGAGGATTTATAGATTTGGGAGACAGTTCCTGTCCTACAGCTAAGAAATCGGGTGATGGAAAAAGGCTGTAGAGCCTGAAGATTTGAGGATTTGACATCAGAACGTCAAATTTCACATTCTGAGTTCTTTTCCCTCTCTGTAATTTTCTAGTAGCAAGAATATACGTAGGATATTACGTGATAAATAAAAGGGTTATATTCATCTTCTTCAAATTTTGTACCAAGTTTAAACTTTTTTGTCATTCATTTATCCATATTTAAACCATATCTATATTATATATAAAAATAAATACTATATATAAATACATGTTTTATATAGATATATCCATATCTACTTTAGAATAGCCCATACAACCGCCAGTACATGAGCTGACGGCACTTTATTACCTGAGATATCATTTCATCGTTGAACTTCCTTTGAGAGTCCTACTACATATGTCCACAAGTCACGATGAACGTGCTCTAGCATGCATGGCCCAATGTTTTCCTCATGATTATTGGAAATGTGCAGGTTTTTTTCCGCATACACTGGCTTCCTCCATAAAACTTCTTAGAACTTTATACCTCTTGTGGCTGTTTCTGCTGTTAATACTAACACTACCCTCTCAGCCTTTCACTAACTCATCTTCTATTATCTGCCCTCCTCTTGTTTCCCTTTTGTCACTTTAGCTTACTTCCTCTTCATAGCTTCACCATTTTCATGGATTTGTAAAAGGACATGATTTTTTCTTTATATATATTTTTAAAAATTTTATTTATTTATTTGACAGAGAGGGAGATCACAAGTAGGCAGAGAGGCAGGCAGAGAGAGAGGAAGAGAAGCAGGCCTCCTGCTGAGCAGAGAGCCCGATGCGGGACTCGATCCCAGGACTCTGGGATCATGACCTGAGCCGAAAGCAGAGGCTTTAACCCACTGAGCCACCCAGGTGCCCCAAGGACATGATTTTTAAAAAGCTACTGATGCTTTTTACATTCTCTTCCATCCATTCACCGTTTGATTCCACGCACATTCACTGAGCACATAATATATGCTGGGGGGCCCTGGGAATAAAGTGGTCAACAGAAACCAGCACTGTCTTCTCTCAGATAATGCAGTCCAGGGGAAGAGACAGATAGTATTAAAGAATCACAAATAATAAATGTCAAATCACCATCATTGCCAGTGCTAAGGTGTGTATTAGAATAAGTGGATTTGACCTAATTACAGGGTCACAGAAAGCTTCCTTACGGAGGCAGCTACTGAACTGAGATTTGAAGGATGAGTAGGAATGTACTGGACAAAGCACAGAGGGGGGATGTGCAAAAAGTCCTGTGGTGGGGGCAGCGGCAGGGGAGTGAGAACAGTGCGAGGGTACAGGGCATGCGTGAAGAACTGAACAGAGGTCAAGGAGACTGGAAATGGGAAGGGGAGGAAATGTATGGTGGAAAACCAGATAAAAAACACAGCCATTTCTGAGTAGGTCCTTATAAGCCGGCTGAATTTATAGTTGCGCGATGGATTCCAGTTCTTTAAGGACATGATTCTATACAGTGAACACTTTTTTTTTTTTTCTTGGTGGGGAAGAGAATGGCAACACTCAGATTCCAAGTTGTCTTCACTGATGCCTAAGACTGTGGTCGTTCCAAACAGATGGAGGCACCAAATCTCCCACTGCCAATAAATCCAGGTGTTTATGCTGTAGGTTAGTGTGACTACAAGCAGGTAGGATTAATTTCTTTTTAAAAATTATGCTTTGAATTCAATTACTTATGAGTATAATGGATTATAAATAACATGGTGTGTGCTACTGAAATCCATTGCACTTTTCATGTGTGTGGTAATAAGGTGCAGTGTAATTTATGGTTTACAAATTTATGGACCCAGAGTAATAGCTCCAGACTACAGGATGTAGAATACTGTCCTTTTCATTTCGATTTTTCCTCCAACATTGGCTAGTAAAAAATTAAGTTTTGCATTTGTGTGGCAACATCAGTACCTTCTTAGTATCTTAGAACTCAAAATCACACAATTTTTAAATTTGAAGAGATCTGCGTAGGTCATTCAGTTTATCCCCTCTTACTGCCTCTGTAAATAATAATACCTATTTATCTGGGCAAGGTGAAAATCTCTCTTTTAATAACAAAATCTGGAAAAAGATTTTCTCTTAGAATGAATACCTGGTATTTAATAACAATTCTCCTAAATTTCCACCCCCAAACATGGTTTGTATCTGTTAAATGTCCTCTGACTTGTGAAGACAGCTGCCAATTTTCATATTATTGGGAATATTCTGGGGATTTTTAGGGCAGTTCCAAGTAAGACACTGGTATCATATGTAGAATGACTGAGCTCAAAGATAGGCTCCAGCAGCATGAGGGGGAAAAAAAAAAGTCTACTAAGCCCTGAGATAAGGGATTTCTTTTTGTATTTAATTTATGTAAGTGAGCACCATAATTATAAAGTGTAAGGAACACATGTGGAAAACACGAGATGGTAATTAGATCCTAAAGAGCACCTGAAGTATTGGCAAGTAAGTTTGGAGACCGATTGTCTACACAGCACCAGGAAGAGAGAAAAGACTAACTATAAACATAAAGCTTTGCTCATAAGAAAGACACATCCTCATACTTTGAAGAGGATGAGGATAAGTCAATATAACAAAAAATAAATATTCAACACGATCACTCTACCCTCTTTGTCACGATTTTAAGTTTCAATATGCTATGAGTCAGAAATTCATCAAGAATGGAATATCTGCATAAGAAAATGTGAAAAGTATAAAACTGCAACAATTTAATGTATTTGCCTCATTTGGTCACAAACTAACCTCTTCCGTGTTTTGGAGAACAAACCTGGCCTGCCCTTTCCTGCTATCCCACCTCTGGCTTTCCCTGACATTTCCTCATCCAAAGGCAGACATCCTGACTCCTCAGGAGAGTGGTTTGTAAATAACAACCCTCTGAGCCCTACAGAGAATGTATTTGAAAATAGAATCTCCATGTATAAACAAACCAACCGATAGACAGATACAGGTCCAAGGCACATCCAGATTACTTTTAATTCTCTTCAGTTCTTCTGAAAAAAGAGAAAACTATGGAAATCATTCACTTCAAACCCAATCTGCCACACAAGTGACAACAATGAGTGACAGCTTGAAATTAAGTGACTAATTGTGGGATGCGGACAATTACTGGTACAGAAGTACAGATCAAAGGATGCCTTGTTCTGAAAGGCATGAATTGGTGAAAATTTACCGATTGCTAATATATGCTAAAGCTCTTACCTGTGTCTTCCATAAGCCACCTCATTTAATCTCAAGGTGGCTTGACATGGGTCACTGCACCCATCTCCACACAAGAAAAACCTAAAGCTCCAAGAGGCTAAGTGCCCAAAGGTTACAAATAAGTGACAGGGCCAAGTTCAAACTCAGGCAGTACGACTTATCAAAAAAGGGCTTCTCAGTTCCATCTTGGACCCCAGCATCTAGGACTGAGGATCATCGGTCTCCTGAGGAATGGCTATCTTACCCCGACCAAGCCAGGACCAGAGTGGAAAATGTGTGGAAATAGTAGCTCAATTGTAATGTTTGAAGCTCTATGAAATATTTAGTTACAGCAAACTCGATGCTTTAGTTAGTTCTTTTTTTACCTCTTTAAAGGAGTGCCATTATAAAATTACCATTACTCCTTTTTTCAAAAGGGACCCTTCGTCCTCTTCAGGGAATAATGAGGTAAAGTATTTAATAATGTTAACAAAATTCAAAACCAGAACACAGAATGAGCAACTGGAAGCCTCAGCTTTTAGAACTATAAGAGACTCCTGTAGCCATTTAGTCAAGGGGAATAAAGAAAGTCCGAGAGAAGTCAAATGACTTTCTACAAAGGTGCACAGCATGATAATCTCATAGCTAGCCTCAGAAGCTGGCTTCTTTTTACTTAGTGCTCTTACTATGAGTGTGGTCACTGAGTAAAAATGTAATATGATTCATTCTATATCAAACTGAATGGCATATATTATGTATATTTTCCATTATTATGTGCTGGATCAGACCTTCCTTCCCAATTTTTAACTAATCCATGGGAGTAACTAAGAGGTACACCAAGTCTTTCAGTTTATTTGGAAGCATATACCCTTCAATAAGGTACAAGATAAATATTTTTCACAAGCAAATAATATCACTGAACCCTTTCTCTAAT